CCATAATTATAATATTTTACAAAGGCCAAAAATAAGGCATGTTTTAATGAGTTTGACAATGTTATGTGTTAAAAATGGTGAACGTTTGCATCTGTTACGATATATATATATACTTCAAAAAATTGTAATTTGCAAATATTACAATTTTTTGAAGTATATATATATATCGTAACAGATGCAAAAGTTCACCATTTTTAACACATAACATTGTCAAACTCATTAAAACATGCCTTATTTTTGGCCTTTGTAAAATATTATAATTATGGACCTATAACTGTAGAGCCTGATGATGAAGTTATTGAAAACAATTGTTCGCTCAAATACTCTTCGTTTTTGAATAATCTGTTTTTCACTGGTATTCCAACTGAGGTCAATCCGTAAACTACGAATTGGTCTAACTCTTAAAAAATCCTTTTAGCTGAGTATATGTGTTTCCTTAATTACTGAGATTATCTCATAATGTCGTATATTGTAATTTGAACAAGTTTCAATTTTTCCTACATCTATAAGCTTCTATCTGAGCAAAAAATTAGGAAAATTAGTCACTTGATACCAGCCGCTCAACTTAAAGAACACCAAAACGATAACAGATGAGAAATGTCAGTGAATAAGGCCAAGAAGGAATTCTTAGGTGAACGAAAATTCTCAACTACATTAAAACACGTATTACCATGTTAGAATAAAAGTGATAATTATGGAATCACATGAAATTTATGAATGTTTACATTACAACTCAATTTAACGATTGAAAGATATTGTGTTCCCCATGAAATCTGTAGCTCCTAGTATCAAACCCATCGGTGTGTGGGGGAGGGGAGGGACAAGATTGTAAGTTGTTCAGGAACCCCAAGAACTAAGTAGAAAACTGTTTAATTTTTATATATTCCCAAAACTTCTTTATATGACATAAGTTTATGATGAAAATTACTTTTAAAATACCTAAATAGAGTGTGAGCTGAGTTGTTAAAGTTAATTCATGATTTGATTTAATATGAATTATCCAAGACTCACTTCAAACCATAAACATATTTATGATAGTCATTGGAAATTCCATCGATTTTATCATGAAACTTCACTGTATATCAACATAACTCTAACCCTATTAAGTTCGAGTTAACAACTCTTTTAAAGTGTAATGTAAGCATACAAAAATGAGGTATATATGTTTTTTCTCCTCTGTCTTTTGGAGGAGAACAAGAGGGGATTACTGTAAACTGTACACATCAGATTAATATCAGAAGGGGATTTTATGAAGATTTTAGTAATTTTATAGTTGAATTCATGAGTCAATTGAAGCTAGATCACCATGGAAAACATGGAAACAGTGTACAACCGCTTCGTCCCAGTATGGGACTCCTCAGCAATGCGCATCCACGATAGCGCCTCGCAAAATTCGAACTCAAGACCTATCAGTCTCGCAAGTGAACGCTTAGCCTCCAGAAAACTGAACCGACCAGCATCCAATGGTGTTAATGTCTAACTTCAACCAATCCACGAAATCGAGCCACACATCCACCATTGTCTTCAGTGAGTTACTATCTCACAACAGACCCAGTTGAACACTACTGGCCACGGGGTGGGATCGTGGATACGCCCTGCTGAGGAGACTCATACTAGAAAAAAACAGCCGTCCGGTGCTTACAGGTTTTCCATAGTGATCTAGTTTCAATTGACTCATGAATTCAAATGTGCAATCACTAAGATCTCCACAAAACCCTTTCTGAAAATATTAATTTGTCATACACACTATGAAAGTGCAATTCCCCCAATGTAAATAACTTTTTTAATTATTTGCCATATTATGTAGATATATTTCCCCCCCACACACGCACACCAATAACAAAACCCTTTTCTTAATCAGTTAATACTTAACATAATAATCCATTAGAAATAGATATTTTGTTTACACAAGGTGACTAATCTACCCTACTTCTATATATATATATATATATATATATATATATATATATATATATATATACTTATAAACAAAACAGTAGGATAACAAATATTGATTGATTAATGTAGAAAAGAAAAATGGAAGTTTCTGGAATCGATCTGTTGAATATTGGAATAATAAACGGTATCATTTGTATAGATGAATGCTATAACAACATGATGTGATGTAACGGGGAGAGGAACAAATTGTTTTGATGACCATATGATGAGACCGTTATTGCAGAAGTAATTGTATTATCTAGTCTGTTTATTTCGCCTAAATTGCACGTATAGGACCGATGACATTCAAGTAGCCAATGAACATATTCTGGTTAATAAACTCAATGATAGTAAGACAATGACCGGGATCATCAAGACATAAAGGCTATTGGTCTATGATGCAACTTCTTATATCTTTTCGTTTGATAGCCCAAATACAACAAGAACACAACAGACATAGAAACTTCTATAATTCAGTACAGAACTTAAAACTTGTCCGACAGTATAGATCAATTGGTTAACTTCATACTAGTACTAATAGGAATATACAATTTCTACATGATTACACCATAAATAAAACAAAACTGAACAACAAGTCTATAATAATGTTACATTAATTTGAGGAAGGTTTCTAGGTTAAGGTTAAACGAAAGCTTACAACCAGAAAAAAATGTATAAAGAATAAATAGATTAAGGACATTTGATTCGTTAGTTCCCAATATACTTTCCTTTATAATTAGCATAATGCCCAGGACAGGGTTAGATGGAGAATGCTGGTGAGCGGCCTATGCTCCTTCACAAAGAGTAACAGGCGTAAGTAAGTAACTTTAAAACAAAAAGAACTACACAAGGACTACATGTTATACACCGTGAACTGATCTAAGTTAGACGAACATTGGAAACCTAGGAGCATCATTAGATAGTTGCATTGTTCGCGTATGGGTAATCCCATAATGACATTGCTTTTTTGATTATTTCATATCACTTGTTTTCCTACTATTTAATATAACTTTTCACTCTATTGTTGATTGATTGATCTATTGTTGTTATAACGAGATAAATACTGAATAAAATTGAACTTTAAAAACTATTCTGCCTAAAATTACTGTTTATATACTTTTGCTGTATTATTATTAAATACTTATTATTATCATCATCATTAGATTTTTGTAACCTCTTACTTGTAAGCTTTTCTATGATGTAACTTATTTAAGTTACTGTTATTTTATTATAAACATATTACTCAGTTCTATTCCAGTTAAGGTTTAATTATGCTTATATTGAAGCATTTTAATTATGTTGATATGTGATGAGGATTCAACTCTAAATTTTTTGTGTGAGTTGAGTCATGAATATGAACTGCATAAACGAGGAGTACCTGTTTACTGTATAGTGTTCTCAGTCATTTAGTCAGCTACAATGTAAGATCAGGCACATATATGCATTGGTCCAAGTTGTCACACCTCATTAGTACAACAACATGAACACCAAATTCATAGTATTTAATTCAATGGTGGTAATATATAAAAGAAAGATTTCATATAAGGATATAGTATAGCAAGGAAGAATTATTTGGTAGAATGAAAGATATGAAGCGATTTTAATCTCTTAGTTTAAAGAAAGACCGAAAGTGTATACACCTATGCCGTTGTGACAGATTCTAAGCCTTGTCACCCAGAATCTCCAAACACTGGTTATGATAGTCACAGGGACCCCAACCAAGTAATCTGCATCTACCAACATGGCTCAGGCCAGAAGTTAGTGACTTCAATGACTGATAACACGTTTTGGTTTAGCCGCCCCTAACTTTCTTCCAATCATCTCCAACACCGGTTAGCATTGCACGTCATTGTAGTCGGTGTTCAGACATACGTAACACGTGACCCCACCATCTCAGTCGATGAAGATCTACAACCTCATCAACTGACTTACCATCAGTCCCTAATAATGTGTAGTGTTCTATTCTGGTTATCATGTGAAAGAGCACAGGAGAACTACATTCTAGACTAATAATCGCTAATTTTTATTCTCAGCTGTTATCTCACAATAATCATGTCACAAGTACTAGATAATGTCTAGACAAATTAATCGATACCTAGATTGGATCAATACAACTGCACTCCCATAATTACGACCTGATCTTACGAGTCCCGAAAAAGGCTCGAGAAATTTGTTTTTTCGTACTATCACTTATTCATCTACTAAGTACGGATTTATGTTGTCAGCTTTCAACCACGCACTTAGCGATATTACTCAGTTCTCTATCTTAAAGTAACTGAGATGGAACTTAAACCTGAGAACTAATGGTTGGGAGCTGAACGACCTAACGTCTAAGCCATTGCATCCCACTCTCCTACCGTTGCTATGATAACCTTAATTTCTTAAGTCTTTATTAATGAGAATACTATTCATTATAAAGTGGCAATAATCGGAGAAGGACTGAGAAAAGTGATATGTCTAGCTAAATACAATAATTAGAGTATTTAAATTCTGCTTCTCTCAGTTCGGTTTGAACAACAGTTACCGAAGAAAAGAGCAAATACTGATAACCCATAGCATTAAAGTAGTAATAGAACGTAACATACTAAAATTTGATCGCATAGGAAACAGAGAGAAACGAATTTGATAAAACTTTTTTAATAAAGAACAATTCGCCTAATATGTAGGTAGTACTAGTCACAGATTGATTTCAGGTAGGGTAGCAATGGATATCAGAGAAGACTGGATAGCTGTTTCGTCCGAGTTTGGAACTCTTCAGAAGTGCGAACTCATGGCTGATACCATGAGTTAAACCCAGAAACTACGAATATCGCGGCGAATGTTTAGCCACTGGGACCGCAGGATCTGCATCCATTGCAACAATTCCAATTCCAATAAATTTGGGATATACACAGTACAACGATCAATTACTAACAATAGTGACAACTGTTTAAACCTCGATACATCTGAACGTTAAGAATATCTTACAGTAAATTACTAGTGATATCAATCTGTAACGAGTACAACCTATAAAAACAGGAAAATTAAAGTAGACTCCACAAAACCTCTGAAAAATAATTTACCTAGTAATTGAGCAAATGTTGGTCTAGCTTTTGGTTCATGTGCCCAACATGCTCGCATCACAGCATCGTAAATTGGATCTGGACATGCATCTGGTTGATCTAACCGACCAAAACGTGGTGCATCGATCATTTCTAATATTTGTCGACCGGTAAGACCAGCCCATGGTGTAAATCCATAAGTGAATATCTCCCATAATGTAATACCATAAGCCCATATATCTGAATGTATAGTAAATAATAAATCATGTATACATTCTGGTGCACACCATGCAATTGGAAGTTTAAGATTAACATTGAAATTTGATTGGTAATATGATTTGCCTAGTTGAAGAGCACGACTCATACCGAAATCGCTAATTTTTACCTGTAGAAAGAAAATAAAAGAGCAAAGAAATATTTAGGCACTGAAATGATCAATTCGAACAATGATGGATTAATTTAATGTTCGATTATGAGTTTAAGAAATATTACGAAAATTAGAATCCCGCGAGCGAGATCGTGGATGCGCACTGCTGTGGAGTCCCACAATAGGACGAAACGGCCGTCTAGTGCTTCCAGGTTTTCAGTGGTGGTCTAACACCAAAAACTCAATAATCTCCACAACCGTATAATGATAATTAGAAAGTAGTCTAAACTTAAGAATTCTGTAGTCCACAAATTCACTGGATTAATCAACAATCGGAATCATGACTATCAAATTTAGTTATTTCCAAATGTAAATGTATAGGACTACTAAACAATCGATATAAAATGATTGGAAGTAGTTGGTAGGACATCCTACTTGATATAGATTCTATGTTAGCTAGCAGATTGCACATTGATAGACAGAACTCAATTAGCACTAGGTACTAGACTAATATGAAATTGAACACTACTTAATAATCAGTCAGTGGTAAACGACTGATATAACTCGATAGCCAGTATATTGATCAATACTTGGCGCCTCAAGTTAAGACTTCCCATTACATCTTTAGGGACTTTAATACAGAAAGCGCTATCAGTAATGCAGAATATGAATTTATTAAAAGAATAGGAATCCAATTTAACAATTCTGTATACACTGATAAGTTCTTTTTCCTCGACGGACTGAACTCAGTTAGAACATCATTGCAAACCAGAAGACATTGAACAATTATTTCGTTTTAGTATCCAACTATTCAACAGTATGCATCTACAACGCTGACAGGCATTGAACCACGAATCATCAAGCATCGCAGAGAATACGTTAACATTTCGGCTACTTCAGTTGCCTACCATCAAACAGTCTACATTTCCAATTTCAATCGGTTTGTGATATACCATAACCATCATCTATATTCAGTTACTAAAAGCTAACTAAAAGCCATATAATTCTCTAAAATGACTGGTGGTACAAACCAATTGCCCAAACCTGTAACGCAGGACTTCATTTCGAGTAACTAAATCTATTTGACTAACTAAAATCCCATAAATAGATAACATAGTCAATTGAAACAAAGAATTACACCTTTCATATTGTTAAATTATCATTTTCATATAAATATTTATTTCATTTATGTATTTGTCGAAAAGAAAATCACGAACAAGATTGTCAAGCAATACGTTGGATTTACTTCCAATTCATTTAATGAGATTTTACAAATACATTCTTCCTCTTTAAAAGTTAAGGGGTTGTAGCAGACACAAACACACACACACATATATAAATACACACGTAAACTCAATTTTGTACATATTCCAAATGGAATTTCAAAATGTATTGTTTTAAATATATATATATATATATATATATATATATATATATATATATATATATATCCATCTTTGCTTATAAAGCTTGTGACTTAAAGCAATATCGAGGCAATCCGCACAGCATGCACATATAGCCAACAAGAGACTGATCAATTACAGTCCTAAACAACAATGGAAAGGATACAAGCAAACAACACCTAGTGAATTTAAATGAAACATTTGTCTTTTTTTATAATAAGTTATATAAAAGAAAAACATTGGATTAAACAAATCCATTTGCTAAACGGAATACACCTATTAAGACATTAAATAAGAAAGATTAGTTCAGTGAAGAGTTCTCCCCCTTTTCAGTGAATTCATTTTCAAAGCTGTACAATTACAAATATATATACTTATTTTTACAGGATGATAATAATACTGATAATAAACTTCTGTTAGACATGGTAACAGTGAGGTAAAATAAATAAAAGTATTAAAGAAAACTTTTTCTATAAAACAAGGAAAGTTTAATAATCGTTTGATTGTTAATGGCTTAAGTATTCATAAAAAAATATAGGGAAATTATCATCGGGAAAGGATGGTTCAGCATAAGATAAAATGTTGAAATTGAAATTAAATGTCTTGATTGAGTGACCTGTGTTCACAAGGTGTTCGATTATTGAATTTCTTATCAAGCCGTTGCCTCCTCTTTATATATATATATATATATATATATATATATATATATATTTAGGACCAAGGGATAATTCTTGTAGCTGAATAGTCGATAATGTTATACTAGAGTAATTGAAAACATATTTCTCTGGAGATTCGGGAAACTTTTCGTTAATTTCAAGATCACATCTTCATTACGATTTTTTCTAAAAATATCAATGTAATCTTTGAATTTGAAACGTTGATCTTCTGACAAATCAAATAATGTGTGTGAACGTAATGAGATACTTCGTCCCCTTGGTCCTAAATTTTGTAGTACGTCTAATAATATTAATGAACTCAACGCTAAAATACAGTTTGAAAGCCTCATTCGACAGACAAATGACCTAATTCCAGTATATATATTTGTAAACAATACATACTCCCGACCGTTGTTGCTACCTTGACGTGATGGTCGGGCTTGCCTATCGTGATGAAGCAACCAAGCTATACTGGCTAGAACAACTGTTCCTCAAGGTCCTACCATGCCAGACAGGTCGGTTGAAGAGCGGTAAGACTAAAAGCAACAAACCCAAGGTCCGAAGGCGAAGTCGTACTGCTCACTGTACAGAGGTGTGACAGCAGTAAGGTGTTTCCCACGGAAAACCAGCATCTACAGCGATGCTGCCTTTTTAGAAGGAGGGGTGGGGTTAGAAAAGGTCGACCCTAAAAACGCACACCTCACCTTATCTCACGGATATCCGTCTCCGGTGGTAAGGTCTCAACAAGTACGGAGCTAACACAAAAATTACCCATAAAAAGGTCAAGTGACCGACATACTATGGATCATCTAACATCTACGTATATAAAACCGACACAGTTTACTAAAAAAAATATTAATTAAGATTAATTTTAAAGAGGAAGAATGTTGTATTTGTAAAGTTTCAATCAATGAATTTGAAGTGAATTCAACATTTCACTTGGCAATCTAGTTCAAGTTCTTTCTTTTTTTTAAGGAAATACATTCTTCCTCTTTAATATCTCATATCGATTCGGCGCCTAAATTTAGACGAAAATTCTTAATTGAGATTAATTTTTGTCAATAAGGGAATATTTTATAAGTAGTTTATATGTATACACTTTATTGAACTTGTTATCTATTTATTTATTTATATTAATACATAGATATTGCTACAAGGAGGCACCAAATACATATGCGCCACACAAATCTCATTTGATATATGTGAGGGCTGTGATACTGCCCGGGTGGCCAAACCGAAACAGGTGGTTTTCTCAGGGGGCCACACTCGGAGCCTTCGACCAAAAGGTCTGGTCCACAAGGCAGTGGAGCAACGTAAGTAGGTGCAGTCCCATGGTAGCCGGTGACCAACAATTGGTTCATACGCCATTTGTTCCTGCAGGATACTGGAGCCCATGTGCACCATTGGTTTGGAATCCGGTTAGAGCGCCGGACATTCACTTTTCGTCCTCTCATTTCCGTAAACAACACCCCCGCCACGAGAAGGCAGTGAGTAGGACTTTCCTGGCAGAGGCTGTATACGCGTGGCCGTGTGAGAGCATTTCGAGAGGGAGGGGGCCACCCCACTCTCGGACATACCAAGGCATTTGGGGGCTTTAGTTAAAGAGGTTCCTCTAATTTTTATGATGTAGGATTGTTGCTAGTTTTTATTCTGAGTTATATCTAATAGCGTCTTAAGTTACTGAATTGTTTCAGTTTTAGGACAGCAAACAAGTAATAATAAAGGACCAGCAGGTATCAGTCTTGTACAACTTGGAAAAAGTTGATTACCTAGTAGTATGATCAAGTGTTTCACTTTATGCTAACAGATTTCATATTAGTATTGTCTATGGAAGATAATAAAAGGAGAGGAAGTCCACCACTACCACTATGGTGTATGCCACCAATGCTGACAGATATAAGTAGTATGTAGCACCAACCGGAAGTAGAATGGCTGACAGCAGAAGATTAAAATGAAGAGAAAAGGAAGTGAACCGGAGAGAAATCGAAATAACAATGGAATTAAAGGAATAATGGAGTTTGTAAAGGGCAACACAAAGATGTGCAAATTATGTATTTAATGCATGATCTTCATATTTTACAAACACACTGTAATTTTGAGAAAAACAACAAATCGGTTTTTTCCACTGTTAGCAAAATATAGATTGGATCAAAGCATATTCCGTGCAGAATTGTGTTGGTGCACGCTGATTTACTATTTCTCATCCAATCAGCGCTAGTGCATACTTGGAGAAGACTCTAGGACCTACTTGTGTAAAAACTATAAACATACTAACGTTTTCCTTACTGTGCTTCCTACTTTCATCTGCCCTTGTTATTTGGAATATAATTTCTTTCCTGTTCAACCGTGTTTTGATTTGAGGACTTATCGAGTGAAGTAGTATCCAAGAAAACTAAGCAATAGGAATAGCTGAGTCGTAATAAGAGAAATTATAACATCCACCAAGTCCTTGTTTTGGTCACCTCTGAACTACATCCATTTTTTAAGTATGAAGACTAGTGATAACAACCGGTTGTTCAACCGAAAAAGGTCTAATAGGTATGTTGTAACCAACAATTTTAGTCATTTTTCTGCTCAGCTAGTAGGTGAGTGCTAAATAATGAAGTTATTTTTTATTAAAGATTTTGTTCTAACCATTTGGAGTGATCCACAAATGTTAGTGTGTAGAGAAGCTCAACATTTCAGATGAAAAATGCAAGAATACAGATGGTTTTTGTATCTTACAAAATAAAACTTGCCAGTTTGAAAGATTTTAAATGTTTATCTACAGCCATATTCACAATGATATCAAAAGATTCACTAGTTACCTCAAACCTATACGTCATCCAGAGAAATTTCTCTTAAATATTCAGGAAACGATAATGGAGAACAGAATAGAATAAAGGGGAACAAATGTGAATATACAAATTGTAATAGTATAGAGTAAGGGCCAAAAACATGTAGCCTCTTTAAATAGTAAGTCAGACAAAAAACGTCCTTCAATATTGACAAAATATGTAAAGATCAAAAGAGATTACTAGTAAAACCTACATCAGCATAAATGAAATATGACAGATTTTGTTGCAGAATCTCTAACGGTACAGAAGTCATACGAACCCACCAGGATGTTTAGAGATTAACATTTTAAGTTAAAGTTATTTATTCGATATTTAGAGGAATTTAGTGTAAAACCATTGAAAATAGACCCAATATTCAATGTCCACTAAAATCTTATGAAGTTAAGAGGAAGAAACTGACATAACATAATCAGGATACTCAACAAAAAAATCTTTTTGTTAGTTTAAGAAATGCTACTAGCTGATGAGCCATAAAACTCTAGTGGCGGAATCGAATGATTGTTCAAATTTACTTTAAGACTTAGTGAAGATGTAATTCCACAATGGAGTAGGTGTATACACTTTCGGTCTTTCTTTAAACTATGAGATTAAAATCACTTCATGTCTTTCTTTCTACGGAATAATTCTTTCTTCCTATACTATATCCTTATATGCAATCTTTCTTTTATATATTACCACCATTGAACTAACTACTTCTATGAATTTGGTGTTCATCTTGCTGTGCTAATGAGGTATGGCATTTTGGACCGATGCATATATGTACATTGTCCTATGTTGTAGCTGGCTGGCTGACTGACTGACTGAATTCCAAAACTTTACACGGAATCAAACATATAACCTTTCCTTCATGATTCCAGTTGAATCAATGAATCAAAATATGAAGGTTCACACTTCCCAACCTCAATTAAATTTAGTAGCATAGTGTGATTCTTATCCAATGTTACTTGATGTTTTATTGTCTGTCTTCTGTCTTGGTTAAATCCATCTACAAACTGATTAATGGTGAATAGACGATTATTATTCTTACTATTTGGATAATAATAATAATAATAATAATAATAATAATAGCAATTGAATAGTTCGGTTTTTGTATTGCTTACAATATCTTTTGAAAATACTAGAACATTTCTAGCTGCCAAATCACGATGTACTAGACCACATTCTTCTAAATAACTCATTCCTCGAGCAATCTGTATTGAGAATTTATACAAAACAGGAACAGAGAAACTGGATCGTAATTCAGATTCACGTAAGCATTCTAGTAGAGAGCGAAGTGGAGCAAGTTCAGTAACCTAGAAATATATACACAAAAGAAATGTAACAAAAGTATATCAAGCATCAATAACGAAATCGATAAAAATGAAATTGACTTTTAATAAGTTTAAGGGGAATTCATAACACAGAAACATTCAATGTTATAATAAACAAAAATAAAGTATCCAGGTAAACAGCCCGGTGGGACTTTAAGAGAAAGTTTCGGGTTTCATTGTGAGCATCAACATTGGAAAATGCAGGTACGTTTAGTTGAAGTCTCAAATAGGACAAAACGCACGTCCAGAACTCAGTTGCTGGACACGATCAAGGTTTAACACAAAGTAATCTACGTTTGGTTTATGTTTTTGTAAAATGATCCATATTAGTATCAAGGATAAAGGAATATGGTTTTATTAAAATTGATCTGATCAACTTTTTTTAAATAATGCCTGAAAATGTGGGATTTGTGATAAGGGATTTTGTCTTGGATGATAAGTCTAGAACAAAATAAAATGTTCCAAATTTATTTATATACAATTTATACAGACACGACTGATGCTGAGACGAGTAGCTATGGTCTATATATGTAGTGCACGGTGGCTAGATAATAGTATTTCATTGGTTTAAAGTACGGTACATTAGTAGTATACCTGGATATAATTGATTTAGACAGTTATTTTTTGGACTATCTAAATGAATTTAAAATACATTATATTATTATTAACTTCGTCTGGAGCCCCTCTGAGGCTACTGCCAGTCCCAAGCCCGGATAAAGGAGGAGGGTTGGGCATGGGGTTAACGACCCCATCCCGCAGAAAACGAACTCGCTAGAAAAAAAAACGCTAACCAGTAAGTAAGTTGTATATTTATTGATATGATGGATACATTATAAACATGTTATTCAGGTCGAAAGTCTCATTAGTGAACTTATGACCTAAAAAATTTGCATCTTAAAATCGCTTCTGTCTTAATTAACTTTGAAAATTGTTAATTTTTATGCTAAACATACCGACATGTTAGAAAAAACAACTTTTGTTGGTCAGTTGTGCTGTTTTTGATATCAGTCTATTTAAAGACTTAAGTTAGTAATTTGAAGTAAAAGACAGTTAACAATCTTGTATTTTTATAGATCACTTATCAACCAGTATATCTTGCTCACAACAAACTCAAGGTTATCCTTTCAGTAACACATATTCCCACTATCATATATCTTAAGTAATTTACCCAGCATTTACCCTCTTTAAGCTACACAAACTATCTAGGTGAATCACTGTGAACATACAGATACTATATTCAGTTTCGAAAAATAAACAAAACAACCACCTAATTTTTAGATCAATGTACTTTAACCAAAATTGTCAATTAACATAGGTGGATTTCAACTATTCATACTGTTTAGTAGTAGCATATGATATTGTGAAGCTGTTGTAATTAACATTAGTGATGTTTTTTTCTTGGATTCCACTCATAATTTCAAGCATATTTTCATCACTTCTAGTTAGAATTGTAAATAATTACACTTCAATTATTCATCTTAACAGTTGAGATCATGAGTCAATTGAAGATAGACCACTATGGAAAACCTGGAAGCACTGGACGACTGTTTTGTCCTAGCATGGGCCTCTTCAGCAGTGCACATCCACGATCCCGCCTCGCGAGACTTGAACCCAGGACCTATCAGTCTCGCGCGCGAACACTTAACCTCTAGACCACTGAGCGGGCCAACATCCAACAGTGTTAATGTCTAACTTCAACCAATCCACGAAATTGAACCACACATCCAACATGCTCTCCAGTGAGTTACCCTCTCACAACAGACCCGGTTGAACTTCACTACTCACTGCTTCTCATTAGAACTCCAGGAAATACCTCTTGAAGCCAGTCACTAATGAGCATATGTTGATCAATATCTGTAGTGATCTAGCTACAATTGATTCATGATCTCAACTATTAAAATTACTAATAATATTCACAAAAACCCCTACTGATATGAATTATTCATCTATTACATACACTACAATTATTCATAATTAGACTGATCGAAATGAAAATCAAGTTCAAATGATACGACACAATACTAATTGGATTAGTAATTCAATATTAAAATGCTTAGTCATACAAAATTTACGGACAAAAAGAACAAATAAACGAACAAACAAATGAGAGAGAAAAAGAAAGAAAGAAACACTGTTCAAGTATTTCTATGGCATTATTTATCTGTTGTTGATCTGTTTACACAGTGTGTGTGCCATTTAAAAAAAAAACATTTCATATAATTCTATACATGTACACACATGAACATATGAAGGAATAAATGTATGAATGATTTATTAACGTTATTGACACAAACAGTTGAATGTTCAATGAATCAACAACTATATCTTAATATCACTAGGGGTTTTTTGTGGATATTATAGTAATTTCAATAGTTGAGATCATGAATCAATTGAAGCTAAACCACTATGGAAAACTTGAAGGCATTGAACGGCCATTTCGTCCTGTCGTGGAACACTTCAGCAGTGCACATCCACGATCACGTTTCGTGAGATTAGAATCTAATATCCACAAAAAACCCCTCCCGATATTAATCAACATATGCTCATTAGTGACTGGCTTCAAGAGGTATTTCCTGGAGTTCTAATGAGAAGCAGTGACCAGTGGAGTTCAACTGCGTCTGTTATGAGATAGTAACTCACTGAAGACAATGATGGACGTGTCGCTGAATTTCGTGGATTGGTTGAAGTTAGACATCAACACCATTGGATGCTAGCCGGCTCAGTGGTCTAGAGGTTAAGTGTTCGCACGCGAGACTGTTAGGTCCTGGGTTCAAGTCTCGCGAGGCGGGATCGTGGATGTGCACTGCTGAAGAGGCCCATGCTAGGACAAAACAGTCGTCCAGTGCTTCCAGGTTTTCCATAGTGGTCTATCTTCAATTGACTCATGATCTCAACTATTGAAATTGTATCTGAAATAAAATTCATAATATATTAAGAATTGCATGTAAGCTTATATAGTTGTGATTATCAATATTGTTGCTGTTCAATGTAGAACACCAGAGAAATAAATCACTTTATATACAAATCAGTTGAGATGTTGGTTGGGGAAAGTGAAAAAAAAAGAACAATTAAGGTTAGAATGGAACCTTAAGAAATCTAAGTTTTAGATAAAATGTTGATACAAGCCAACAACTAATTGTTGGAACGAAAATTTGTTGTAATGGTAGAAACATCTAAGGTTGAAGGGACTATAGATTTATATAAATTATTTGTAGCTATCTATGCTCAGCTATGTATGTTGATATTTCACAGACCAAGCCAAATACATCAGTGGTTTATCGGTTAAAGGAATTAGCTTCTAAACACTATACCACATGATCGAACCTAGTTTCACATATTTTGGATTTGAGTAGCCAAGTAATAACACAAACAATGTGGCTTAAAGACAGATATACATAAATCTACATTTGGTAAATGAATATCAAAATTAGTAACAATCCATTCCTTCTACTACAATTTCTAACGTTATCTAAAGTAGATTGATGAAATGCTTTGAAATTGACTATATCGAATTACGACAATAAATTCCATAAAGTAACTCATTGCCATTTTCAAATGGTCCCGAAGTTTCTAGCTAAAAATTTTTACTAGATATTAAAAAAACCATAATATGAAGATTTATACATGTTGATCATGAAAATTCATTTATGACTCTATCTAGTTGAACTTTCAACTCCGACTGGAGCCCCTCTGGGGCTACTGCCGGTCCCAAGCCCAGATAAAGAAGGGTAGGACATGGTGTTAGCGACCCCATCCCGTATAAAACTAACTCACTAAAAAAAACCTAACGTAGTTGAACTTTTGAGTAATATAGCACTTCTCAAATCATTCCACAAGTCAAATCCACAAAAAGATATTTTAATCGATATTGAAAACAATGCTAAAGAAGTATCCCAAAATAACGTTTTTCATAGTTCCGAAAATCGAAAATGCTTACTGTATGGGAATTTTTGAGTAAAACAAAAAAAGACTAAAAAAACAGTAAGTAATGCGTATGGATTTAAAGGGGATCAAACCATTCGACGAACAAGAACCTACCGCAAATCATCAACCAAACTGAAAAGGACCAATGAAGGATTTTTTAATATTAATGCCGTCAAGCATTTTTTTGTGCTTACAAACACAAATACACAGACATACCTTGCGGAATATATATATATATATATATATATATATATATATATATATATATATATATATAAGTTTAAAAAGAATAGTCCGAACGAGAGTGACACCTCAGAAGTACACAAACGTCGTGAAGGCTCTTTACTCAAACACTACCAGTCGAGTTAGAGCTTATGACTAAATGTCATATGATTTTGCAACCTCAAGTGGTTTCCGGTAAGTCTGTCCATTATATTTATTCTTGTTTCATTTCACTATAGATCTACTGATGGAAATAACTTTCTAGTCGACTGAATTTTCGGGAATTGATTTCCTAATAGGACATCCACTTATTCACCTAGAGTACGCAAATCACGTAGTTCTGTTTGATGAAGATGCTGATAAAGTGCAGAGTTTTTAGGTAGCATTGAGCAACAATGACAGGATGTTTACAATGGGTTCCTCTCCATCTAAATGCAAATTGTTGCTCCAGGACTGGTCTACGTCAACATCTGAACTGAGGATATGGAGTGAAGTAGTCGAATGCGTCGACAACTTCACTTACCTTGGAAGTCTGGTCAATCCTAATGAGTTGGTATCTGACGAAATCTCTACACAGATTCAAAAAGCTCGTTTGGTTTTTGCCAACCTACGTCACCTATAGCGAAGGCGAGATATCCATCTATCAATCGAGGGACGAGCATACTGAGAAGCAGTTCGTTCTGTTCTACTTTACGGATGCGAAACATGCCCATTAAAGACAGAGGATACTCGTAAGTTACCAATATTTGATCATAGATGTCTTGAAAATAGTACATGCATCTGCTCAGGCAACCGGGGGTGAGTAATTGGCAGGTTAGACGCAGGGTATTAGAAAATGGTGCTGAATCAGTTGATGAGGTTGTGAATCTTCGTCGACTCGAATGGTTGGGTCACGTGTTACGTATGCCTGAACTCCGATTACGACGATGCGTAATGCTGACTAGTGTTGGAGACAGTTGGACGAAAGTTAGGGCTGCCAAACCAAAACGTGGCATCAGTACTTGAAGTCACGAATTTCTAGTCTTAGCCATATTGGTAGATGCAGACTGCTTGGTTGGGGTCCATGTGACTATCGTAACCAATGGTTGGAGACTCTATGTGATAAGGCTCAGGATCGATCACAATGGCGTAGGTGTACATGTTCTCTATCTTCCCTTAAACTATGAGATTAAAATTGCTTTATATCTTTCTTTCTTTTATATATTACTACCATTGAAGTGACTACTTCTATGAATTCGGTGTTCATCTTGTAGTGCTGATGAGGTATGGAAACTTGGACCGTTGCATATATGTGCATCGTAGATGATTAACTGACTGTCTAATTGAATCGAGAACGACAATTCATAGAGAATATCTAGTGGGTTTGGCGCAATACACTATTTTGGAAATAGAAAATAGGATCACACGCACACACACACACACGTACAACATTCAGTTAAAACAACTTTTGTGCATGAAAGTAAGGTCAAATTGAAAACCAATCAAAAGTAGTATTAAAATGTCAGAGTAAGCAGAACAAGGACATTATTATTATTATTATGTAATAATAATAAGTTTAATATAATAGAATACTACTACTTATTAAATAATATATCATATTTAAGGACAAATTAATTATAAAAATAAAGTGTTGTTTAAAGCACGTTTTAAATGTCAATCAAACGTGAACAAGTGCATAGACCTGTGAATTCTGTAAGTTATTCTTAATGAACGTTTAAATAAATAATCATTAGTTGTTTGTGATTACCTACTATTGAAATTCAAAACACTAATTGATCAATCTCTATTATGTTGTGGATTGTTTCAATACAAATTTCATTATGATCTTGAGTATATTTCGAATATGGTTAGCAACATTTCGTCTTCATTGAAACTTGCCAGCTGGATGTATCTGGATTCCAAGTTTGATATTTACATTAGGATTCGAAATAAGTAGTTTTCGCTTCACGCAATAATGCATTATCCACTGAGCTAACATTTCTACATTTGTTGAATAAGGTATTGGTTATTTAGAATCAGTAGCTTAACGGATATCAACATATTGGGCGTTTGAAGCCAAAGATATCAATTTTTTTAAACAGAACCTAGTGGATTTTAATCTCATTGGTTAAAGTATAGCTGTGTTCAACCACGAGATCTCAACACCTTAAACTTCATGAAGCGAGATTAAGAATAGAATGTAACATATGAACAGTGCTACAGTCACGTTTTCAATTATTGTTCACTGTAAAAGTTGAATTCATGAGTCAATTGAAGCTAGACCACTGTGGAAAACCTGGAAGCATTGGACGGCCACTTCGCCCTATTGTGGGACTCCTCACCAGTGTACAGTCACGATCCCGCCTCGCGAGATTCGCACTCAGGATTTATCAATCTCGCGTGCGAACGCTGAATCTCTAGACCAATGAGCTGGTCGGCATCCAACGGTGTCAGTGTCTAACTTCAACCAATCCATGAAATTGATTCATGATCTCAACTATTAAATTACTATAATATCCATAAAACTCCTCTCTGATTATTATTGTTTAGCTGATATTTATTTATGATGAAAGTAATGTACATGGTTAATAAAGAACAATATTAGTTTTTATAAATCAAGTTAGATAATTGATTACAACACTCTAGTTATGCAACAAACCAATCCTATGCACAGTTGATAACAATGAAGAAAATAATAGACATGAAGGAAGTTATCAGTTGTTATCGGTGAGACATACTATTAACGAATGATGATATAAATATTAGCTACATATTATCTAATAGGTAGATTATTGACTATGACAATTTGTCTTTCAATTATCTGAATTGTGGATTCGAAATCCTCTTCACTTGATCAATATTAACAGGTATCAAAAATAGTGGTTCAGTAAGACAACGAACTTTGTAACTATTGAGTTAAATGATTATTCCACTGTGTCCATAATCCTTGTAAAGAGTAATGAATGAAGTTTTCTTTAGAAGTAATTGAAATATTTATGAACTAACAAATATACTACTAATTAAGGCAGCCTTAATAAATAAGTGATGAAAAGTTACTGGTTTGAATCCTCCTGACTTGACCACCAGTTTTATTGTAGCTTTCATTATTAGCATCATTTATCTATTTTATAAAATAAACACATTTATCTGAACAGCCCAACTAATCTGATCAACATCGATCAATGGTTTAATCGATACAGGTCTCATTCTTAAAGGTATGACAAATACTGGTAAAGATGGTACGGAAATTGATGAGATTAAGAATCTTTACCAAATGAAATAGTCGGAAGATGTATTACGTATGAATAATCACCAACTAGTCTGACGAGCAATCTTCACTGATGTAAGAGTAAGTTAGAAAAATTCTAAAACCATTTAAATAAAATTGTGGGATCAGTTCTATTAAACCATTAATCTTAAAACGGAGTTATGTAGGTTGATGTAGATTATTTAGGTCGAGGAATAAATTCATTCTTTGTGAATTATATTATTTATGTTTATTATTGTCCCTTTATCGTTAATCTTAACACTATTTCTACTACTTTCGTAATTATCTTGATCATTTCATCTTACTTTGTTGATACGATGTGTAAACTTGAACCAATACAGATGTGTCATGGTATCAGGTTATAAGTTATTTACGAAAGATAAACAGCTGAATATACGTTGTAGCTGACTGACTGAATATACAGAAGCTAAGAACATAACTTACAACCAATACATATTTAATTATGAAATATTAAAAAAGAAGAGGGCCAAATGGTATACATGGTTGGCATTAGAACATTATTTGTTTGAATCCAGTCAATCAGTAAGTCGAACATTTGACATGTAACCTTAAAAAGAGAGAGAAAATGAAAAAAGTAAAACTGCCCCCAAATGCCCTGTTACGGCCGAGAGTAGGGAGAGTCCGCTCTGCCTCTCGAAATGCTCTCACTTGTCCACGCGTATACAGCCTCTGCCAGGGAAGTCCTACTCATTGCCTTCTCGTGGCGGGGGTGTTGTTTACGAAAATGAGAGGACGAAAAGTGAATGTCCGGCGCTCTAACCGGATTCCAAACCAATGCTCCACATGGGTTCCAGGATCCTGAGGGAACAAATGGGGTATGAACCAATTGTTGGTCACCGGCTACCATGGGACTGCATCTCCTTACGATGCTCCACTGCCTTGTGGATCAGACTTTCAGGTCGAAGGCTCGGGGTGTGACACCCTGAGAAAACCACCTGCTTCGGTTTGGCCACCCGGGCAGTATCACAGCCCTCACATATATCAAATGAGATTTGTGTGGCGCATATGTATTTGGTGCCTCCTTGTACCAATATCTATGTGTTAAAATAAATAAATAAATAAACTATCCTGTTCATGTTTCTTTTCACAATCTTTCCGTCGTTTTTTTTATTGATTTTCTTTTTAATAAAATTTTTTATGAATCAACTCCCAATTGTAAGACACTACAACTATGATAATATTTCCCAATATTTATGACATAAAAATAAAACAAATATTTACATAAAAATGACATACATCACTACAAAATTGGATAAGGCAGGAGGAAAGAAATCAGGCCAACGGGGGTGGGGTGGATGGATAAGCATAATAGAATATGAATGAGGTTTTTAGCAGGAGACATTTAAATCTTGTTGGTATATAGTGAATAAAATCTTAAAAGTTATTACTAAGTTACACGAAAGGAATTCATTGCCAATTGAATAATCAAATGTACAAACAAACGAATAGTGACCATTGGATTACCATTAGAATCTATCTTGACCGATATCTTCATAGTTAGTCTAAAAAAAATATGAAACTAAAACACGAAATCCATGACACAATATAATAACTCCAGATATGTCGATGATACATTCATTATCTATGATGACATGGATCACGCTTCTAGGCTGCTTATTCACTTCAACAAGTATCATCCAAAAATAATGTGTACAGTCGAATACGAAAGAGATAACCAATCCGATATTTTAGATTTTCGTGTAAAATGCAAAAAAAAACGATAGAAAGACTGTGAAAAGAAACATGAACAGGATAGTATTCAAACTATAACAACGTTTCCTTTATCAGTTACAAAATGTGTCTAATCAAACGCACTCCAATAAAGCGATAAAGTTATATACTCAAATGATACAATAAATGAGGAATTGTCTATACTAGAAAAACACTTCATAAAAATTGGATATCTGTGGAAATTTATTGTGAATTATAGAAAACAACATTCTAAGCATGATAAACAACCAATTGTTGGTAAGAGAAACCTATCTCATAAGCAAATAAATTTTCTGAAAAACAGAAAACCGTACTTAGTCATACTAATCATCACTACATAATATGTAAGTCATGAATTGAAATAAGATTGAAACATGATGCTGATAAGATAATCTGGTATTTATTAGAACGAACACAGTAAACCATTTCAGTTTATTTTTTATCTATTACTAAGATGTTTGACCTTTTTAAGGTTCGAAATGTATCCATACCCAATTCATGAGGTCACTGGAATAACACATCGGGCAGTTATAAATAACATGCAACCTGATACAAATGAGAATCCATTTAATTTTCTTTATTAGCACACTGAGAGTAAATTAATAATATTCAGAGCTCAGGAAGCAAATAATGAACAACACTAATGAAGCATAATTATGAAATAAATATAAAGATATAACAATAATGCTAACAGTCAATTACTTACAATTTTTATTACATTCACATCAATGCACACACCAAGAAGCTGAACAATATCTGGATGATTTAGTCTATGCATAATTGATATTTCATTCAAAAAATCACATGTTTCCTCTTCATTCATTTGTTTAATATCCATAATTTTGATAGCAACTTGTAAACCACGTCTTGTATCTGTATGCCAAACACCCTATGGATAGATCCATTATAATATAAAAAAGATATTATAAAATATAATACAATAAAAAAGATATGCTTTAAAAGGGAATATTGTGATCAGTTATCAAGTATAGCCTACTAGTGTTATCGTGTTTATAATTAGGTTAATCGACGGATATTTATCAGTCGAGATCCGAATCGCTCACCAGTAACAAAGGTTTGAATCCTTCAGGAAAAGTCGATTCCCTCAAGACAGCAACTACCCCCGGCAAACAAGTGCTAAGTTGTGTGACACTTGGGTTGAGCAAAATTTCCTAACGATTACATCCGACTCTCTAACAATCCATATATACGTTGAACAAAACAGATTAATGTAATAAACAGAGAAATAAATTAAAACAACTTGAGTACCGAAACTAATAGATCTCAGTCTAAGTTATCATACCGTCACCATCATGATGATATTAACAACAAAAAACGAAAACCGAAATAGATAGGACACATGAAGATAGAAAAGGAGGACGGATAAAATGATACGATGATTAAAATTGAAAGAAATTGAAAGGGAAGAAACTATGTGTTATTGTGACCGATTTTGAGCTATTCTTCTTTAAAAACATTAACAATTGATTATGATTACGTGTACGTGCCAATGCAGATCAAATTTAAGGTACACTTATATCAACATAACACAGCAAAGAAAGATAGATATCCAAGACAGGAACAAAAATATGCATCAACCAACTCAATCGATGAGATGGTACGAAGTTTATCTAGTACCTTATATTGAACTTTATTATTCACTATTTGACAAACTTATTATAATCTAAGCCCAATGACGTTTAGATAAACAAAATTGAATCATAGTGTTTTTATATGACTAGCAGTGGCATTCAAGACGCATAGTTCATCGTATCAAGTACTCGTCGCCTGGATTTACTTTAGTTTCAGTATTGTTACTCATACTAAGACAAAAGCCTAATATTATTCGCCTCAAACACCAAACAGTTATCTACTGAGCTATTGAGTTTAAATAGCAAATATGAGAACAAAAACCCTGAGACCAAAAACCAAAGTCTTTCTTTTTTATTCAAAAGTTTATATCAATTAGAAAACCAGTTAGAAATTAATCGACACTAGGTAGTTGTTGTTGTACCCTACTTCTCAACACAGTATTCACGACTGATAATATAACAATTAGTTATAGTTTTAGAACTTTAAGTTTTGTTACAAGAATGATTAAATTGGTATTTAATTGAACGCTACTTTATGATGAAACCCTGTACATTATTTTCATCATAAATAAATATCAGCTAAACAATAATAATCAGAGAGGAGTTTTATGGATATTATAGTAATTTAATAGTTGAGATCATGAATCAATTTCATGGATTGGTTGAAGTTAGACACTGACACCGTTGGATGCCGGCCAGCTTATTGGTCTAGAGATTCAGCGTTCGCACGTGAGATTGATAAATCCTGAGTGCGAATCTCGCGAGGCGGGATCGTGAATGTACACTGGTGAGGAGTCCCACAATAGGGCGAAGTGGCCGTCCAATGCTTACAGGTTTTCAATGATCGTCTAACACCAGTCAGTTCATGATCTTAATCAAAAACTTAATAATCTCCACAACCCTATACTGATAAATTTATATTTAATTGAATGTTACCTTATAGTGAAAACTTCTCTGTTCCTCAAATAAAATGAGAATAATAAAACAAAATAATGTAATTTATTGGTCTATCTAATGAATCAATAATTAATTTAATTATTATTTATGAACATTAATAATAATAATAATAATAATAATAATAATAATAATAATAATAATAATTACATATTCATTGAATTAATTAACCCATAAATCAATAAATAAATAATCGCAAAAATAATATAAAATGTTAGTTGGGAAGAGACATTTTTTCAAAACAAAAACAAAAAAAGGAAAATGTCGATATGGAAGAGAGTGAAACATTTCCCAATTTTCGTAATCAATAAAAAAAATATAAACAGTTATGACTATTATTATTATTTCTTATCCAAAAAAAACAAACATTGGAATACTAAAACATAATAGATTTATACCCCAAAAACAAATGTAGAAAAAATAAATTATATACAATTTAGGGGTTGTGGAGATTGTTAAGTTTTTGAATGAGGTCACGAACCGATTGATGTTAGACCACCACTGAAAACCTGGAAGTACTGGACGGTCACTTCGTCCTATTGTGAATCCTCTCAGCAGTGCGCATCCACGATCTCGCTTGCGGGATTCGAACCCAGGGCCTTCACTCTCGCGCGTGAACGCTTAACCTAACACCAATCGGTTCATGATCTCAATCAAAAACTTAACAGTCTCCACAACCCCTAAACTGATAGTTATCATGTGCTCACTAGTGACTAGCTTCGTGAGAAAATTCTCAGAGTTCTAGTGAGAAGTCTTGACCAGTGGAGCTAATCCGTGTCAGGTAGAAACAGGTATCTACCTCAGTACAATGGAAGATGGTCTCGCAACTTCGTTCATGATCTCAATCACAAAATAAATTATATACATTCAGTTGGTGTTGTTTTGATTGAATCTTCCTATTGTTATTTAGGACTGCAATTGATCAGTCTCTTATTGCTTCGATATAGCTTTAAGTCACAAACTTTTTAGACAAAGATGGATAGTGTCTAGCAGTGGAATCCAGGACGAGTGTTTCGTCCTATTTCGGACTCGTCAGATGGATGTACCTGAATCGCAGAGTTGATGTTCACTTTGTGACTGGAATCCAGTAACGTTCACTTCAAACGCCATCACGTTATTTACTCAGCTACTGAGTCCTGATAGCCAATTGCTTCTGTAATGGGGTGAAGTTTAAATTCAATTGGTGTTGTTTTAATTGTATCTTGACATTGTTATTTAGGACTAGAATTGATCAGTCTCTTGTTGGTATATGTGTATCCTGTATACATGTACAGACATATAGGCGTATAAGATTGTAGCTTAATGCTATATTAATGGCTTTGAAAAGGCAGAGAAAAGTAAGTAAGTAAGTTTAGACAAGTAAGTCTGAAATAGATATTTTATTAGTTAGAAAAGTTGGAAGTTTTTTCTTTACAGTTTCTGAACTTTGTACTTAATGATGTACATACTACAATGTGTATTATACTAAATTATTTGATAGACAGTTAAATGAATATGATTGGTTTCTAAAACTGTGAATATGATTTGAATTTATAACTGATATTGGGTAGGATTGAGAGATTATTGATTGATTAGCGACTTTTATCTTTATGTTTTATGAAAAATTTAATATCCAAAAAGTAACTAATATTCCCTTGGTTGAATATTATATTGCACCCAAATGCCCTGGTATGGCCGATGGTGAGGAGGGCCCTCCCTCCCTCTTGAAACGCTCTCACACGGCCACGCGTATACAGCCTCTGTCAGGAAAGTCCTACTCACTGCCTTCTCGTGGCATTACTGTTGTTTACGAAATTGAGAGGACGAAAAGCGATTGTCCGGAGATTTAACCGGATGCCAAACCAATGGTGTACATGGGCTTCAGTATACTGCAGGAACAAATGGCGTATGAACCAATCGTTGGTCACCGGATACTATGGGACTGCATCTCCTCACGATGCTTCACTGCCTTGATGTCACCAAATTGGTTGCAACTTATGTTGCAAGTAAGTATCGAATCGAGCTAGTTTCTAGGCTAGCTACCACCACCGAAAAGTATAGATGAGCATTGCTTGATACTTCATGACGCCATGAAAATGGCGAGTAAAGTCGCTTGCGGCTTCGCGAAACGTCCCGTTTACAAACACTGGGTTTCTTCGGGCTCCTTAAAAATCCTCGAAGCCCGTCAGTCTACTCTGGGTGACCGTGAGTTTGACCACAAACGAAGGATGTTACGTAAGGAAATTGGGCAAAGCTTGCGTAAGGACCGAGAAGCCTGGTGGTCGAAGCGTGCTAATGAGCTGGAAGCAGCAGCTGCATCTGGTAACTACTGGAAGCTCTTCCAGCTCATCCGAGCCACTGGCAGCAAGAAGTCTGGTGTGAGTGAAACAATCTGCGAGGATGATGGGATGCCAATCACTAACATCCATCGACGTCTTGGACGGTGGGCAGAATTTTTCGAAGGGCAGTTCAACTGGCCTGCTGCTCCGGCAACATCGGTCAGACTGTCCTGCCCTCCATGGCCGGTGACGACTGATCACCAAATGAGGTCGAAGTCCGCAAAGAACTCTAACTCTTGAAGCGTTACAAATCTCCTGGCCCAGATGACTTACATCCGGCTCTTTTTAAAGATGGTGGTGACTTTTTGACTAAGGAATTGACGACGTTGTTTACAAAGGTCTGGGAACTAGAGAGTGTACCAACGTCATGGAATGAGTCGATAGTTGTCCCTATCTTTAAAAAGGGTTCACGTCGTTCCTGTAACAATTATCGGGGGATAAGTCTACTTTCGATTGCGTCCAAGCTATTGGCTTCCATCATACTTCGTAGGTTGTTCAAAACCCGAGAAAGATTGACTCGCGAGGAGCAGGCTGGGTTTCGTTCTGGTCGAGGATGTATTGATCATATCCTCACCCTCCGCCAAATGTTAGAACACCGCCATACTTATCAAAGGCCAACAATCGTAGTGTTTCTTGACATCAGGGCCGCCTTCGATTCGTTGGATAGGACTGTTCTCTGTGATTGTCTATTGAAGAAGGGTGTGCCTGAGAAGTTTATTAACATCCTAAAAGCCCTATATAAAATCACCTCAGGCAGAGTGAGGGAATACAACCACCTCTCTCCGTTGTTCCATTCGAGCAGTGGGGTTAGGCAGGGTTGCCCAATCTCATCATTCATCTTCAACTTTGCCATCGACGACATTCTGGAAACAGCTCTGATGGATGTAAGTAATGGCGGTGTGGATCTGTTGCCTGAAGAAAAACTTCTCGACCTTGAGTATGCAGATGATATTGTCTTACTGTGCGATAATGCCCAAGGCATGCAATCCGCACTTAATCAGTTGACAATCAGTGTCCGTAGGTATGGTATGTGCTTTGCACCTTCGAAATGCAAAGTACTTCTACAAGACTGGCAGGATTCTAATCCTGTACTCACTCTGGATGGTGAGCAGATAGAAGTAGTCGAGAAGTTCGTGTATCTGGGTAGCTGCATAAGTGCTGGTGGGGGTGTGAGTGATGAGATCAATGCACGTATAGTGAAAGCCAGAACGGCTTATGCCAATCTGGGCCATCTTTGACTCCGTGATGTTAGTCTGGCTGTAAAAGGTCGGATCTACTACGCGTCAGTGAGAGCAGTTCTGCTCTATGCTTGTGAAACCTGGCCTCTTCGAGTTGAGGACGATAGAAGACTCTCTGTGTCCGATCATCGCTGTCTCCGAAGGATTGCTGACATCCAGTGGAAACACCATGTCAGTAATGCAGAGGTTCGGCATCGTGTGTTCGGGCACAGAGATGATAATTCAATTGGTGTCACCATCTTGAAACACCGACTTCAGTGGCTTGAACATCTACGGATGTCGTCCCAGAGAATTCCACGTCGTGCATTATTTGCCGACTCTGGGACTGATTGGAAAAAGCGGAGAGGTGGTCAGTGTATGACATGATGTTTTGGTATGAAAGAAAGCTGCAAAGGACTGGCTTGTGTTGGTCCTTCACGACTCCCTCGTTGGGGTCCGAGAGATGGTGCTACACAGTGGCTAGAGACGTTATCAGATATGGCTCAGAATAGAAGCCAGTGGCGATCCTGCTGTAACCTTCTTTTACTTTCTCCATAAAAAAATGGTTGTATCTTCCTTAACTGAAAGATTTCTTCTGGCTGTACCCTTCTGTTTCCCCCATTATTATTATTATCATTACACTACCCTACACTAATGTGGTCGTTATTGTTCTTTTTTTCTTATACGCACCTTACATTCTTTTTCTCTTCCCATTCGCATTGTTTTATGTGGCGCATATATATCTGGTGCCCCCTTGTACCAATATTTATGTGTCCAAATAAATAAATAATAAGTGAGTATTATATTACTATGACAAAATTTAATCCCCAAATTTATTCAGTTAGTTAGTTGACTAGTGGTTCCCTTTTGTGAAGCTTATCGTCCTAGAATTTGAGAATTGGTTTCGTTAGGAAAAAAAATTAGGTTCATCATATGAACTTTTTAGTGTATTTTATCAACATAATGATGCTATCAGAGTGGTAAGTAACTGATAAGGCTGAATGCTTGAAATATCGGTTAATTGTAAGAAATTAACATCTTGGTATATCTATTATTAGATAGGAAGTAAAGGCAAATAATGAATCTAGATAAGCGTGAAATGAATGAAATTTAAGAAATGACTAAAATAAAGAGACGGAAATTCTGGGATTACGCTCAATTTAAAACACAGAGGAAGTTAAAGTATGTATGCGATTGTGATGTTTTCTGAGAGCCATGTTACTTAGCATTTCAAACTATAGATTACGACTATTTTGTGGATCCAAACCAGAAAATTTGCATTATTTGTCAGGCTTCACACCAACAGTCAATAGATTTATGAACTTATACCGTACCTTCGTTTGTTTACCCATAAGGTTTCTTTGAATCTATTACCTACTATAGCTAGAACAGCACACCCGCATGTAGCGCCTCGCGACGACCTTAGCTACTTGAGATCTACAGCCTAATCAACTAAATTATTATTTTTATTTGGATTCATAAGTATTTATTAACATATATTTGTTTCACTATGAGAGTAGTGTTCCTAAAACACCTATGGTGTTACATGGAACATATACAGCCCTAAATTTTAAAAGCTATTTTTTACAGCCACAAAGTAACACACAGAAGCCTGTTGAGTAGTATGCATACTGTTTAATGAGGAGACGGACACCTCCCATGGGCCTTAGGTGATGCAAAGTGGCAAAAGTCAGCTAAGTTTCCTGAATGGGCTGATTTTTTGTCAGGCACCAATCCACCAGAACTTATGAGATTTCCAAGTGAATTTGTTAACACACTTAACTACTTCATTATCAATAGTTAGATCAGGCACTGACGTAGATCAGTCCTCAAGAAACATATTACATTTAATGTTAGGAAAATGCAAACCAAACTCTCTGTCATTGTCACTTAAATCAAGCACGATTATATATGTCTCATTTATGGGATAAAAGTTTTATACATAAATATCAAAAACAAGTAAATACGAAACAATTCAAACAGACATTGTATCAACATTACGTTTTCATTAAAAAAATGAATATGGAACTTTGTACTCATGTTAATAATCATTTGACAGTTAACCTGTGAAAATGAACTTACAAATACAAGAATTAGACCCTAACTAGTTTAGTGTAGCATAATACAATATTCGTTTTCAAATATATACGCGATGAAATAATCTCATTGATTGAACAACATTCTGGATTGGATAAAGATACATATTCTCTCTGTTAAGTGTAATCTTTACTAAGTAACTACAATCTTCCCGTTAGTAAGCTGTTTATGCATTGATAATCACCTTTCAGTGCGAATGAAGATCTCTAAGAGAAAGTTAAATTGTACAAAGATGTGGATAATCATTTGTAATGAATACCAATCGAAATAAGATATCCAGCTTAAGAATTTCCCTCAATACTTTTTTCCCGATTTACATTAAGGACATGTATTTGAAAAATTAATCTAAGCAAAAAAATTCCATCAAATAACAACAAAAATAATTATTGATGCTTCACTTGATGGGACAAAAACTAACTAAAACACACAAAAAATTTTTTGTATTAGAATAAAGTAGATAATTAAATCTTTTTTGCAATGTTTATATTACCTGAAAAACTTTTCCAAATTCTCCTTCACCAAGACTACTTCCAATTTCAAGTTCATTCGATTGAATAACCCGATAATTTGTATTTCCATTAATGGTTAAATAATTCAAATTGTCTGTCAAACACTTATTACTACCATCATGACCTTTAGAATTTTGTGTAAGTAATAGTGTACGTCGTTTTGAATCACCATCTTCAGACGTTGGTGTACTATCTAATGAAATGGATAATACGTTGAGATTACGAGATGATAATCCATCTAATGTATCTTTGAGTCGTGGTGATAAACATCGACCACTGGTAGATCGAGCTAAGCGCTAAACGAGAGAAAAAAAGAAAATGAAAAAGTTATTTTTCTGGAAGAGAAGTAATAATTAAACTTTGATAGCAATTACGAATTATTGGATTTTATTGCTTTATTCAGCTATAGTTTAAAGTACTTTATGAGGTCTAAAGATATGGTGATCACTACGAATTTTGTTTCGTTGACATTATGATACTATCCACCAGGCTTTAAATAACTAGAGATAATTGGTACAAAGTTCTTCATTTAAGTTTAAAGGATTAAACATTTCAGTTAATATTCATTTATAAGATTAGATACAATAAAACATTTCGGAAGGGATAATCATACAGCAAATAAGGGTAGGGATATATGTGTGACTATCAGCAAAGTACCGTTTACTAAGAAATACTGAAAAAGAAAATACAATACAGAAAATTATGTGTTGATGTTCGTTTATTTCTAACTATAATCCCTTGAGTTAAGCTAACCTTTCTTAGCTTTCCCATAGCAGTTTGCGGGCATTCTCGTTTGAAATGTTTCCGTAAACGTCGTTGTTCTGGTCGACTGAAACCTAGTTCTGCAAGATCAGAATCTTCAACATATTTGATTTGTTGAACTGAACGTATCTGTAAAAATAGCAAAAATAGTGAACTATGAGGAATATCATTTTGATAAATAGGATATCGATAAAAATGACACTATGGATTTGATTTAAATAATAAACTAAGGATATAAAAACATTTGTTTTACTTCTGTATAGGTAGCGAGGTGGCGTTTTCAGCCTGTAGGAGAGTTGATTTACCGCTTGCAAATATAAAATTAGGTTTGTTAATTGAGGTGAATTTTTTCACCCGAATCAATGACTATTTTAACATCCTTGTACTAGTCTAAGTTAAACCTATTTGATGAAGACTAGAAATACTGCTCAAAAGCATATGAAATGAAGTCGGAATTTGTGTCGTAGTAACTGAAAACTGGCTGATTAAACTACTGAGTCACAGCTTCACTATCCATTCATTGATTTAATTATGGGATACATTGCAGACTGCATTTAGCTCATTAATCTTAGTGTTTTAAAAAAGTGATCAATAGAATATTTTGAACGAATGTCCTTTCAGCTGGGTGACAGAATTTCTGGTCGGACATAATCTATCCCCTAGTCCATAAATTTAGTAAGTTGTTTTAAGCTAGAATTCTAGCTGAAAAACTTTAGTGTTTGTATGAACTAATGATTCTTTTGTACTTGATGACTGCCTAATTTCGAATTCTAAATACAATACGTTTATTCGTGCTCTTCTAGTTCTCCTTCGTTAAATTTTGTTACTTCTAGGATTCCTAATTCGTACAATAATTCAAATACTTCTAATTATCACAAAAACATTTCAAGTTAAAAATCATTAAAAGGTCATAAATATTCACCAGAAATCAAATTGCTTCGATCATTGTAAGGCTATTTTTCTCAATATAAAGCATCTTTCTTAACTCCCTCTATAATTCACCCGACATTAAGTTTGTTTTGAACAAGTTAATAACTACCTTAATTGTTGTAAGTTTTTTCTTTTAGCCTTTCTGGTCAATAGGTTAGAATAGTAGTAAAACAGTAAAGAAGAGCAGAACGATGGAGACTACTGTAAATTTTTGAACACCTAGTTTGTGTTGAATCAAAGTTTAATAGAAATTATAACTTTAAATATAAAAGAGAATTTGATTATTTTTTATATGGGTATCGACGAACTTGGATATGATCGAGTATGCAGGGTCAAAGTGGTACATATTTTAAAATGCTACTTTTACAGTTTTTAGAAAAATTGACTAACCTTCAAATGACGTGTAAGTACGGAGTAATAGTGGTCTAGTTCTGCATCCTTTAAGAACTCATAAAGATCCTTTTCTGAAGGCTGTTGCTTATCTTGATTAGAAAGATTTAAGAATGATGGAGGCGGGCTTTTTAGCACAGTACATCCTAAAGGCATGACCGGATACTGTCTTTGTTCCCACACCTCTCCTATTGTACCTTCTGTCGCAGTTGTTGCTAAACTTAGTGAATCAGACAATGTATCTGCACTTGGAGCTGACAGTTTTAAATGACTACAACCAATTCTAGAACGATCACCTCGAAGGTGTTGAGATGTTGATCGTGAACGTAGATTTCCGTTTTCACTGACTATAGGGATGTTAGCAGTCGGTGCCAAAGAGGCAGTCAGCATGCCCAAAGAAGTTGAATGATAAATTTATTACACTACCGACACCTAATTCAAAAAAGGAGAAAAGGGACAATCAAAGTGCTTTCACAGAACTACGAAAACCCGGAATTATAAAAACAGAAAAGTGAAATAATTTAAGAGAAAATCTAACTTGGACTTCAACACCTCATGACTATGTTTACATTGTCCATTGTGTTTACCAATTGCTCCCAAATTTCCTGCTAAGGCAGATAGTGGGAAGAGTCAGATCTCCATCTCCAAATGCTCTCACATGGCCACGTGCATAACACTGTCAGGGAAATCCTACTCACTACCTTCTCGCGGCATCACTGTTGTTTACGAAATTCAGAGGACAAAAAGCGAATATCCGGTGCTTTAATTGAGTTCGTGCATATGGAGGATCCACCTTCAAGAGTTGGAAAACCCTGATTTAAAACCAATGGTGCACATGAGCTCCAGGATCCTGAGCGAACAAATGACGTATGGGACAATTATTGGTTACTGGCTACCATCGGACTGCATCTCCTGACGTTGCTCCATTACCTTGTGGATAATACCTTTAGATTAAAGGCTCTAGGTGTGGCCTCCTAAAACCGCCTGCTTTATTTTGGGCGCACGGGTAGTATCCCAGCCCACACACCAATCTAGTGATTTATGTGGTACATCTATTTGGTACCTCATTGTACCAATGCTTATGCGTTTAAATAAATTTAAATAAATAAATACCAACAGAATGTAGTGATCAGCAAAAAAACATTTGTACGACTTTCTATTCTCCAAACATGCATAAAGACGATTACCAAGAACAAAACCAATGAAACGGAAAGAATGGGTAAACCAGACATAAAAATCAAATAAAAATGAGAAGCGAAGATAATGATATGATACTATATAGTTTATAAGATATCTTGTAAACGTAGAGGGAAATAAATCCACTGCAACCGATTTATAACAGTTTCACCAAACCAATGATAGGTAACATAATGTACTCAAGATTGTGATTCAATATGAGTAACGGACTTCTGAACTACCTCAATTGATAAAGGTATAAAGTCTAGATAACACTTACCAATATTACCGAGTACTCTGTCTTGATTTACTAACAATTATTCTGCTAACACGTGTCAAAAGTGGGCAACAATGTGATAACAGGGTTTTTTGTTTTTACTAATCAGAACGTCTAAATACGTTTTCCTTGTTGTAGAACGCAAAGCGATATTTCCACCACTCATCATCTTATATGGCAACGTGTGTGCTATCACGCCTCTAAATTCTGACCCGCTTAAAACCGATCGTCTCAATAAAAATCAGAAAACGTTCAAAATCCATGATTGAGTGAGCACAAGTTGAGACCACTCTTTCCCGGATCTCACAGAATGGTCAACGATTGATATGTCAAACCAGAATAAATAAAGCAAACTAAGAAAGTGAAACTTCCAAAGTTAGAGGTACCCACAACAAGGATCAATGGAGCGACAGACCTATAGTTCTTATTTCAATTACAAATTAAACAAAATCCTGAATATAGTTGGTAATAAATAATCAAAGTCAATCAAATCAATCAAAAACTCCTTCAACTATACATGGATGCGACAAAAATTATGTTCTGTTTTACCTTGACGTTTCTACTCCGGACAGAAGGGGGATCTACCGTCACTAACATATAACGAAAATACGAAGTCAATCGAAAACCAATGCAAACACAGCGCGCCGCGCAGACCTTCGAGTGTAAACTTCAATCCTCAAAGTTTAAAGATTCAAATGGTTCAGATGATTATGGGCGAGAGAGTAGAAGCTTTCGCTGAACGGGCTTCCGTGTCTGGTAGCAGTGGATCGTCAATATCTCCAGGCAGGAACCTACATATATTAACGATAATAGAGGAAAAAGAAATTGGTCAATCAAAGTAACCCAGACAACCAAAAAAGGGGAAATAAAGGCGAACAAAGGAGAAATAAGGGGGTAAGTCCTTTGGTAGCGAAAGGGGAAATAAAGGGTCAAACTCACCAGAATGTCTTCTTTTTCGCCTGTCCGGGGGAAATAATGCGGATTTTCCCCTTTTTTGCCGCTTTGTCGATAAATTACTCACTTTTCGCCCAAATGTCCGCTGAATTGTCTACTTTTCGCCTACTTATACGCTTAATTGTCTATTTTTCGCCTAAATACACACAGAACTCCCTATTTTCGATCCATTGACATAACCCCAAAGGTCTCCTATGTTCGCCTTTATTTTCAACAACAGACCAAAATAAATTTGCGATGCACTGGAAAACCACCAGACTTTGATAGCAATCGCTTTACATTTATACTCAAATCCGTAATGGCTGAGGACATTTTATGCATCATTGTGTACAACCTATCAAAGCTGAAAAAGTTCACTTGATGAGGCTGGTGACTTACTGGGCCGCTATAGCACCACCTACTTGCTTAGATTCCGACGTTGAAGGTGATGTCTCCAATTATGTCGAACTAGTTCGTAAACATGTAAATATTTATGAAACGTACTTGGCAATTGGCGAGACGACCTTTTCAAACAACCGAAATTTCGGATATTGTACGTGGCTATTGCCTGCCTGCAATTCAGCAACATCCATGTCTACTGAATTGTAAAGAAAGTCTTCTTTACGCTTCAATGCACCTCTAGGAAATAATAATATGACTATTGTATCGAACTCTTAGGCTTCTCAGTGTTCTGCGGCAAGGTTTTTTCATCCGCTGAAGTGTTTTTCTGGCGAGATTCCAGTAATTGTAAAGAAACTAATAAATCTTTCGCAGACTGCAAAGAATCTATAGTGATTTATTGTTCCTATGTTTGTTACTTACCTAGTTCGTGAATGATATTACATTTCATAACAGCCCAGTTGTTATCTGGTTGATCGTAGTCTTGCAGGTGGGTTTCGATCAGTTCCTTTGGAAAAAGGCAAAGTCCTTTACCGACAATCCACTCCTTGAATGCTGTCATAAGTGCTTTCTTGATTGGTACGTCAACAATGACGTATTGCTTGTTAGCGGGCTAACAATAACGTAAGGCGTAATTAAGTGGTTTATCATCAGCAATTAAACACTAATGAAACAAGATTCATTTACAATAAAGTATGCAACAATGGGATTATAACTAAATAATTGATACAACTGATGGCTATACATTTACAATCAATGTCCTTCAGTGATATCCATGTGTGTTCATGGCTAACTACGGAGCACATAAAGATTCCTATATCACTAGATGGGAAAGGATCTTCAAAGTAATTGCGTGGATCAGTGAAAGTCCCAAATTTTAGTAGTCCATCCTTCTTTATATCAGTGACTAAACCTGGCTGGCCGTTTACTAATACTACATTATCAGGCTTAAATGAAATTATTTTACTATTGTTATACATAATTATCTTAAAATATTACCCTTAGTCCTTAAAAATGTATCAAGCTTTCTCTTAAAAAATCTTGTAGAACGTCACATATCAGCAACTCCATAATTTTTGAAGGTATAGAGAGAGGAGCCACCAGTCGGAAACTTGAAGGTTCTCTGCGTCAACATTCTTTGAAAATTGGCGTGATGTGAGACAGCTTCCGAATTTCTGGTAATGCTCCTCGGCTTAGTGAGTGTGAGAACATCACGCCAAACAGTTATGTCAGGGTTGAAGCAGCAGAATGGACCATATCCGGGCCAGAAGTAGTGTCTTTTTTAGGTGCTACAGTTTCTGGTACACTAAGTCGGCGCTCAAGTTCACTTCGTAAAGTCCTCTGCAGCTGCAGACGAAGCTTTCAGCAACTTATTTACTGTGTGTCGGTCGAAATATCCGACAGTACTGTTCAGCCAGAAGGTCGTTATTGGTCAGGCCATTAGGGCCTAGCAGTTGAGAAGCTACAGTTTTGGCTTATCAAAGGGAGACCGCGCAACGAAATTAGCTTTTCGGATTGGAGATTCAGAATCAAGTTTGTGTAGCAAGGACAGAAGGCATATGACCTATGTTATTCCTTTTCTAATATTTTTCTCTGAGTGTCTAGTCTTCTCTACTGAATGGGTCAATTGGAGGTGCAGGCGTCACTGCTTCGGCTAACAGGTTCCAAGCATTGGTGACTTGGTGTTAAAACCTGCATGGCAGGGGTATTTTGTACGCTCTGACACGGACATGGTTTACTCAGATATATTGAGGAAAGTGGTGTTTTCTTTTCACCCTAACAACACTTTTTCAGGAATGGCTACTCCTAAATCATCGATATGCTGACTGTGGATAAATGGATGACCATCGTCGATGGCTAAGATATACTTAAATTCCTCTAAAGCCTTTATTAAGGTCCATCACACACGTCTCATAAATAAGCTCAAGTTATCATTGACAGACCACTTTACATCGTCCCTAAATAATCAGTTTCTTAAAGCAAGGATATACTCTACTTTCTCTCAGGTTTTAGAATATTCTAGTAGGGTCCTACATGATTCGGATTCAGATTCAGATCTGTGTAGTAAGGACAGAAGGCAAACGGTCTATGTAACTCCTTTTATGGCATGCTTCTGTGAGTGTCCAGTCTTCTCTTGAAAGAGTCGATTGAAGGTACGAACACCAGTGCTTCGGTCAGCAGGTTCTAAGTGTTAATGACTCGGTGTGTGAACCTGTGTGCCATGGGTATTTTTGTTCGTTCCTGGCTTTTCTACTCGCCTGCTATGTCCTCTGAGATGTCCCGATCTAGTGGGAAGAAAGAGCGAGAATAAGTTAGGTCCGAAATCATTTCTCAGTATTCCGTACATCAAAATCAGATCTCCCCTTAACCTGCGATAGGACAGAGTAAAGAGCTCTAGCTTTTCAAGCCGCTCTTTGTATGATAAACCCCGGAGTTCTGGAATTTCACGGGTAACTGCCCTCTTTATTTCTTCTAGTATATCCAAGTCACCTTTTAAACAGGGGCTTGCAGCCTGAATGCAGTTCTCAAGCTTAGTTCTCACTAAGGATGTGTATACTGTGGTGAACATGGTAGTATCTAACTTGGTGAATGTCCGTTTCAAAGCCCAGAGGGTTTGAAACCCATTAGCTGCGATCTCCCATCAATGGACCGTCGTCTTAAGATCATGACTCTTTCTCACCCCTAGACCCTTATGAGACCGGACCATGGGTAATTGCGCTTCCCCTTATGTTGTACCTATTACCCTTGGGATCCTCAAAGTGCATGTAGACACACTTTCCCGCGTTGATAGACATCTGCCACTCTGTAGACCAGTCAGTCATATTATTTAAGTCTGCCTGAAGAGCACATGCGTCTGTGTCTCCAGTTATTACACGCTAGGTTTTCACATCGTCAGCGTATGGTAACATTGAGGACTCAACTATACGTGGGAGATCATTTACACACAGTATAAAAAGTAAAGGACCTAGGACAGAACCTTGAGGCTCTCCACCAAGTACTGGTATCCAGGTGGAGAACTTTGAATTCGATCTTTATTTCTATCTACGAGATACTAGGAAATCCTTGAGCCATTTTGGGACGGGTCCGGGAATACCTAGACTTTCCAGTTTAAAGAGTAGTCTATTTGTTGGCTCCTTGTCAAATGTTTTGCTGAAGTATACGTAGACAAAATCCACTGATTTCCGATTGTCCAGAGCCTCTATTCATTGCTCCCTTGCTATGAGGGATTTTGTTGTGCAAGACAAACCTTCTCTGAAACCGCATTGTTCACTGCTCAAAAAATTGTTGGTTCCCAAAAATGTCACCATAGTGTTTTTGACTATTCTTTCTAGCATTAAAACTATGACACTGGTAAAAAGTGCTAAGAGCCTTAGGTAATTCGTCTCGATCAAAGTTCACGGAGAGCAGATGGTTTGTCGACTTTGTATTTGGCTCTATTTCTTCGTCTAGTAGAGGCTCCTGAGCGAAAACCGCTTCTAAATAGTTTACCATAGCCTCTGCCTCTTCCTGATCACCCTTTATAATTTTAGATCCACTCCCTTCTTTAATTAGGTTGAGAATCCAATGATGCATCCTTGTTCAGTAGTTTATGTGCGAGAATATTCTCTCAGGCTGCTTGAGTGCAGATTGTGCCAACTTCATTTCATATTTTCTCTGAGCTTCCCAGGTCTTAATTATACACTCATTTCTTACCCGCCTGCAGCGTTTCGTATTACTTGCTGTGTCAAGGCTCATGGCAACGTTCCAACATTTCTTCTCTTTTCTTGGTAAACGTAGAATATCCTGGTCTATCCAGGTATGACCGTGCTTCTACATTGGGACTGTCCAGGGTATAGATAGTTGAGTTACCCGATTGTATAACTGCCTGAAATGAGTCCATGCCTCTTGTACTGATGCCCTTAAGTCAATTATCCAGTCTTCAGGCGATGCTATAGAGTTGATCGCTTTCACGTCTGCCTCTCATAACTTAGGACAGGCCGGCGCAACTGTTTGAAAGGCCATCTCAGATATGAACATAAATATGATGAGTGTATGATCGCTTCCCCCTAAATGTGGTAGGAAAGTCATTCAACTGACATCATCAGCGTGTGAAGACTAAGTCCAAGACAGATGAGGAACTTCTGTCATAGGGGTAGGATTAAAGATGCCAGAGGCATTTGGAGTTTGACAACGCTTTATTAGTAACACCTAATACCCACCAAGTGAAATCAAAAGACAGAAGCGAGGAGGTTCGAAGATAGATTTGATAGGCTATTAGTATATCGTGGATCGACTGGTCTAATCCGGCTAGTGACTGCAGGGGATGTTGCTTGAATTGACCGGAATAGTGCATTTTTGAT